CTGTGGTACAGTCCGAATCTTCTTGTGTGTGCACTTGGACCAGTGTGTGAAATCAGGTTAGGCACGTTGCACACGTTGTATCTGACAGCATGGTGCAGTGTGGCCTGGGTGAGGGGCAGAGGCGCACCACCCGTGGCCTCCGCTGTGGCTCCCTGTCCAGCCGGCTGTGCTGTCGGCCCTGCTCTTCTGAGCCAGCAGGGGCGCTCCGACCTCTGTAGCCTCCCTGGCTGGAACCTCGCCATCTGGCAAAGATCGGAGGTCAGCGCCTCTCCAGGCTGAAGCTGCTCCACTGAGTGCCGCTCTTGGGCAAGGGTGAGCCGCAGAGGCTGCAGCCAGCCCGGGCCCCGGCAAGGCCTCATCGGCCTGGGTCCTCCTCACGACACCCGGCATCGCCACAGCCTGTGACACAGCAGCAGCCTTTGGTGGGACCCGTGTTTGTAGCCTGGAGTGGGCGGGAGCCTGGTGGGCTGGGAGGGGCCTCCTGAGTGACCTGTGCTGCTCATGTGTGCTCGAGGGAGGCGCGATTTGCCCTGTGGAGCCGTGTGTCTTTGTGCCTCTGCGCATCTTGGGAAGGAAGCGGTGGGTTCGTGTGCTCAGTGTTCAGAAGATGCAGGTGTCGCCCTCCCCTCAGTGTCGTCACTGGTGCGACGTGTGTTGTCCATTCGTCTCTTTTTGGGACCCAGTCTTAGGCGTTTGTATGACAGCGGGAACATACTTACATATTCTTAGTTTTCAAAACTATCTTTAACCAAAAAAGTGGTACTCGTTCAGTTACAGGAAAATCTTTTTAATAGGCAAATCACAAGGTGATCAGGCCAGGGCTCTAAATCCCCTCCGTGCAGTGGTCCCAGCCCATGAAGGACAGGCACCAGCGCTGCCCTCGCCCGCCCGAGCCAGCGGGCGGGCGCCACAGAGGTGGCTGCCCTGCTGTTCTGTTTAGGAAATGAAGACAGGAAAAGGTCTGTGTTCAATAGACAAGATTCTTTCCCAGTTCCTTCACATCTCTGGTTAGTTGAACTCCTAAACTGACTTCAAGGCTTCCAGATACTTTCTTTTCTCTTTTTTGCAGTAGCAGGGATTGAACTCAGGGCCTTCATGCTGCACTACAGCCCCAGGCCTTTTATATTTTTTATTTTGAGACACTGTCTCCCTAAACTGCCCAAGCTAGGCTCAAACTTGTGATCCTTCTACCTCAGCCTCCCAAAGTGCTGGAATTGCAGGCATTCACCACCACACCTCAGTCTTCTTATGAAGACAATTATTCTGTGTGATTAATACTTCTTTTTGTGATATTAGAAGTTAATAATTTTGTTTTTGAAACAGTAGCCTTGAGGTATAATTTACGTACAAAATTCACCATTTCAGCCAGGCCTGGTGGCACATGCCTATAATCCCAGCACTTGGGAGGCTGAGGCAGGAGGAGCACCACAAGTTCAAGACCAGCCTGAGCTATAAAGTGAGACCCTGTCTCAAAAAAAAAAAAAAAAATCACCATTTCAAAGTGTGCAGTTCCCCGGGTTTTGGTCCGATGGGCAGCTTTGCAACAACCGCCGCTGATCTCAGAACGTTTCATTACCCCAGTGAAGCCCGTCAGCATCACTGCCCACTCTCCCTCCCTGGGTCTCCGCAGCCACTGACCCTCTCTGCGCCTGTGAGTCGTGATGTCTGGGAATTTCACGTATGTGGGGCCATGTAATGCATGGTCTCTCGGGACTGACTTCCTTCATGGAATGTTTCCAGGGTGCAGCCTTGTAGCGTGTATCACTGCTTCATTCCTTTTTATAGGCAAATGATGTTCCCCTGTATGGGTAGTGCCACATGCTGTCTATCCGTTCGTCAGTTGGTGGCGCTGAGCTGTCCCTCTGTCCGGCGCTAGGAGCAGCTGCTAAGAGCAGGCTGTGTAAGTTTTCGTGCAGTCATGTTGTGCTCTGTTGTTTACAGAGCCAGGACACATTGCAACTCTGTGGGACCTCTTGAGGAGCTGCCAGCTTGGCTTTCCAAGACCTTCCCATCAGCCCGCAGGAGAGCTGGCTTGTCCACCTCCTCCCCACCATCTAGTGGATGTGAAGTGGCCTCCTGTTGTGAGTGAGGTTTGCCTTCTCCTGGTGACTTTTGACACAGACCATTTTTCCTGTGTTTATTGACAGCTTGACCTATCTTCACAGGAAAAATGTTCAAGTCCTTTGCCCACTAAAATTGGATTATTCATCTTTTTATTGCTGAGTTACGAGTTCTTTGCATTTCAGGGATGCAGTTTCTTCATCAGATACAGGATTGGAAATCTTCCTCTGACTCTGTGGGTTATCTTGTCACTTTCTGGACCGTAGGAAAGTTTTTGGCCTTAATGAAGCCCAGTTTATGTATTTATTTATTGTTTATTTTAAAGAGCTGTAAAAAAAAAAAGAACAACCATAGCAACATGCCAGCATCACAGACATAAACAAAGCAGAACATTAAAAGTGATACAGGGTTTCAAAACAAAATGACAGGAATTAATAGTGGTTGTTATATTACATATGTGTTATCTTTGTTGCTCAGGTTATCAGATGTAAGAATGGAAGAGTGTTCAAACATTAAAGTGAATAAAAAATAATTATTAAATAAAACATTAGAGATAATACAGAGTTTCACTAGACAAGGTGGTAGGAACTCACCATGGTAGTTCCATTGCATATCGCTGTCTTCAAATCAGTTACTCAGATTACCAGATATAAGCCTGCAAGATTGGTCAAAATACACAAAATTTTAAGCATTAACTGTTCTTTTCAGTAAACCACCAGACATCAGCAGTACAGTTATCCCAGCTGTTCTCCTATATACATATATATATATGTTTCTTCTTTCTTTCCCTCATCCCAGTCGTTCCTTCCTTTGAGCAGTTTCTTAACCTTTCCTATCATCTATTGTATGTTTTGAGTTTCACTTACTCTTTCCAGTTCCCTCTACCAGGGAGACACTATGATGTTACACATGTGGAAGCCCAGTTTGTTGTTTGGCTTTTTGTCTCATGTCTAAAACCATTGCCTGACCCAGGTTTATGAAGATTTGTACCAGTTTTCCTCCGAGAGTGAAAAAGTTTTAGTTTTTCTACTCTGTGGTCCATTTTGAGTTAATTTTTGTATGGTATAAGGTAGGGGTTTGGTTTTGTTTTTGCATGTGGATGTTCAGTTGTCCATTTGTTGGAAAGGTTATTATTTCTCTATTGATGGGGTTGGTATCCTAATCAAAAATTAATTGGGCACAAGAAACAAATCAACCATAAAAGCAAGACTTACTTTCAGATTCTAAATCTGTTGGTGTGTGTGTCTGTCAGTGTTGTTTTGATTATGGTAGTAAGTTTAAAATGGGGAATTGTCGGTGTAAATTTGTTCTTCCTTTTCAAGTTTGTTTTACCTCTTTGGAGGCCTTTCCATTTTCATGGCTGTTCAGGATCATTCTGTCGGTTTCTACAAAACATAACTTGCTTTTTTTTTCTTTTTTCACTTTACACGAACATTTCTTTTAGCTGGTAGCTGTCGGGGCAGCAGCTGCAGCGGCCGTGGCTCCTGTTGGCATGTGCTGTTAAGTGTACACTGAACTCGATTTTGAAGATTTAGTGTGGACAATAAAGAACATTAAGCATCTTATTAATCACATTTGATATTGAGTACATATTGATAGAAATTTCTGTTAGGTTAAATAATGTAGGCTGAATAATTTTTCTTCTTTTGGTGTGGTTTTGGTTTTGGTACGGCTGCTAGAATTTTAAAAACTAAGTGACTCTCACGTTTTTCTGCTGGGCAGTGATTTTCTCATAGCGCGTGATTATGCAGTGTTGTGTCAGCTTCTGGGTTCCCTTCTGTGGTGCTGGGCATGGGCTGTTTCCTGCCCTCTGGGCGCCCAGTGCCGAGGAGGGCCTGGAGCCGGGGCTTCCTGTGCTGTCACCAGGACGGCCTCTGTGTACACGTCAGCTTGCCTTGCTGTGCCGGGCCTGTGGACTCTCGTGAGCTTATTGAATGGATGAATGGAGGTCTCATTTTAACCAAAAAGGAAGGTTTTAAAGTTAAGTCTGTGAACAGAACGAAAATTGACTTAGCCCCACGAGGAGCCAAGCTCTGTCCCAGGCTGTGGGGACCGGCTGAGATCGGGAGCCTGTGGAGGGAGGTGGACCTGGGTTCGGGGTAAGGGCAGGGTCTGAGCCTGTGCCCGTGTGGTGCCAGGGAAGGTCTTTCCAGCAGGTGGCACTGAACATGGGGGCCTAAAGGGTCAAAGGGGAGGGGCCTGGGAAGACCAAAAGCAGAGCAGCCTGGCAGGGTTGCACCATCACGGTGGCGCTGGGGGGGGCACCATCACGGTGGCGCTGTGACTGCTACTGATGGATGGGTGGGCATGGGAGGAAGGGGCGGCCTCTGAGCCGAGAGTCCATGCGTCGCCTGAGCTGGGATGGTAGAGACGGCGGGAGGAGGCGGCGCAGGACGTTCGCCCGGTGTGGCTCTGCAGTTGGAGTTGCCCCTTGGGTGCCCCCGGGAGTGCCACGCTGTAATGGAAATGCCAGCTTGGGGTCTCCAGCGGCAGGCGTCAGGAGATGCTGGACATCAGGCAGGGGTGTGTTGGGCTTGGACTGGCGCATGGAGGTGAGGGCGGGTGGTGGGCAGCTGGGAGGAGGGCGCACATTGTGCAGGCTGCCTGGGTGCTGAAGGGTGAAGGCTGGGCCCCGAGGAGCCTCCCACCCCGAGGGGCCTTGAACGCCAAGCTGCAGCTAAGAGTACCAATGAGGAGAAAGGGGTGAAGAGCGTGTTCCAGAAGTAAAAGTAAAACATGTCCGAGTTTTTGAGATAAACTAGAAGACCACACCAACAGCTCCTTCACTGCGCTTGCCCACAGGGTCTTCCTCCGGGGCCCTGGGGTACTCTGTGGAAATGTAAGTTTGATAAGCCACTTCATTGTCATAGTCTATGTTGTTACATCTCACCCAAGTGAGTATTTACCTGAAAGAGTGTGGGATTCACTTACCCATGTTGTCATCCTCAATCCAGTCTTGCAGCTGCTCCAAGTACCCCTCCGTCCTGCGCGTAGCGGCTGTTTGGTGGCCTCTTCATTCTGCTGGGGAGGCCTGCAGGGAGCTGCTTGCCTGCTGGCCCGTCGGAGTCCGAGGTAAGGATGGAAACCAGCACGGCCTGCCTGGCGCCTCAGTGACCCCTTTCCTGTGTGAGCAAAACAGCCAGTTTTGGTGCGGGCAGGGTGGTGTGGGTGACGGAGGGTGGCCTCGGAGCCTGTTTACGGTGTTTCACAGTTGCTGGTGGTTCAGAGCTGTCCGCCCTCGCTCCTGTTTATCATGCTGGCCGCTCTTTCTCCTTCTGTGTGGTTTTGGTGTGATTCGGCCCCTTCCCCGAGCAGGCTGCCCTCAGAGTAGGAAGAGCTGAGAACAGGGCAGCTCGCGCTGGAATGGGAGGCCACGATGAGAAGTCAGAGATCCTGCCCTTGTTGGTGAGCGCTCACGAGGCCAAGGCCTGGAGTCCGTAGTTTACACACACACGGGGCCGTCTCTGAGTCCTTTCCTCCTGTCAAGCTGAGGTAGAACCTACCTGAAATGCTGCGTTCCGTGACCATTGTGTCCCCTAGCCACTGGGAGCCACCTGCTTCTGTGAGTTTGACGTTTCTAGAGTCCACATCTGAACGACATCATGTAGTATTTGTCTCTCTGTGCCTGGCACATTTCATGTAGCAGGGTATCTTCCACATACATCCACGATCATCGTTAATAACAGTAACGTGTACTTGAAATTGCTGCAATTTCGGGTAGACCTCAATGTTTTCTTCATACACGCGAAAGGTGAGATGATTGATACCTTAAATAACAGCCTTTCTGTAGTGTAACATATACCAGAAGCACACATTGCACCCCCTCAATATATAGTTACTCTTTGTCAATTAAGAGATTAATTTTAGCCTGTAACCCCAGCACTCTGGGAAGCTGAACCAGGAGAATTGCAAGTTCAATCCCAGCCCAGGCAGTTAAGTGACTTAAAGCCCTATCTTAGCTGGGCGTGGTGGTACAGGCCTGTAATGCCAGCACTCGGGAGGCTGAGGCAGGAGGATCGTTGCGAGTTCGAGACCAGTCTGGGCTACAAAGTGAGCTCAAGGCCAGCCTGGACTGCATAGTGAGACCCTGCCTCAAAAAGACAAACAAAACAAAGCAAAAAACAAACAAAAACCCTATCTTGATATAAAAAGTGCTGGAGCTGTAGTTCAGTGCGCAGGCCCTGGGTTTATTCCCCAGTACAAAAAAAATTTTTTTTAAATACTATCTTCTGCTCCTAGACTCCCATGCGTCTGCAGCCCCACGTGCCTGCCCTGCCGTGCTGCAGCTGGGTCTCGGGTCCCTGGAGTGGGACGAGCCCTGCCCACAGTGCTGCCCACAGCCGGCCCTGGCGTGTGGTGTCTGGCAGCCCTGTGGCTTCCCTGCCTGCCCTGCCCTCATGGCCATCATCACCTTTCTTACCTCGCTGCCCTTGGTCGCTGGCTGTCGCTCTGCCGGGGCAGGGGCTTCAGTCTATCTCCGCCCTGGAGTCCCAGCCTCTGGCCAGGTATGTGGGCCCAGTTTGCAGACTTCCTCCAGGTCGTACTTGCGCTGCCTGCTGGCCAGCAGAGGACATCCTCCCGCTGAGTATCAGCTGCAGGGTGTAGACCCGCATCTGCAGCTCTTGGGCCACGGTGTTCTGGGGTTCAGAATTCCTGAGATGAGGGCAGAACCGTGAACGTGCTGTGTGTCGTGGAGCATCCTAAGAATGCGTGGTCATGCACACATCACGAGTTTTGCTGCGGGATAGTCTGTTCTCAGTGAGACAGCAATGACAGATGGCTTCAGGTCACATCCGGGGACATTGCTGTGTGACCTAGGAGCCTGTTTTGTGTTTCAGGATTGTGGAGAATGGGCTGTGGCCCTGTCTCTGTGTGTGTGCCAGGCCCTGTGCCAGGGGCTGGAAACTCGGGACGAGAGCTTAGCCCTGCCCTCCCGCGTGGGAGGAGGCGGTCAGGACGCCAGTGATGCTGCAAGTCCCCCCCCCAACACACACACTTGAGGCCTTCAGAGGAGATGCCCCGCGGGGGCGGCTGGGCCAGGTGGGGTGCAGGGTCTGGTCGTGACATGGTGTCGGGTGTGCCCCGCGCTGTGGAATGCAGCTCTCCTGGCTCTCAGGACTCTGTTCCCTGGCCTCTCTGAGGGCCCACAGCATAGTGCAGGCTCAGGGCTGCACTCGGGTGGCTGTTGTCGACCTCTGCGCTTCTGCCGAGAGGGCACCAGCCTGGGGGCTGCAGGGTACAGACTCATCTGAGGCAGTGTAGTTTCCTGACTTGCTGAGTATAGTAAAAATTGTTTGATTTTAATATTTTCAAGATACATTTTTGATGTGGATAGAAACCTTTAAAATTTAAACATTTAACTGTTTCCTGACGTGGCTCCTCCGTTTTGAAAATATGTTTAATTGTCAGGTTGCAGGAAAGTCTGCTCTTTTTAAGTTAGAAAATGAAGTAATATTCAGATGTGTCCAAGTGTGCATATTGTAAGCATCTAAAAAGATGTTTCTGAAGCAGATGTCCCGTGTTTCTTATATCACTTCTAAAGTTCTCTGTGGTCTTTGGAAAATTACATAGACTGCACTAGCTCTCATCTGAAAATATGTATTCAAGGTTGTTCTTTTAATTTGGGATTACTTTTGCTCACGTTACTTGACTTAGGGCGAATGAACTTTGACACGCACACAGAAACACACTCCAGTCTTCCTGGCTTTTTGGATGGGTCTGGGCTGTAGCTTCTGGCAAGACTGCCAAGCCTGGTCTCTCACAGCTTGCGCTGAGGAGTTATGAGCAGAGTTCGTACTGCACAGCCTCCTGCGGGACACGTCCTGGGCCTCTGTACCCACCGGGCAACACTTGTCAGGACAGGGGCATCACCCAGGGTTTCATGGTTAATCTTTGCAAATAGTTCATTTAACAGGGTTAAAAAGAGACTTCCTCTTGTGTTTTACAGTTGCCCCTTTATGGGGACCAACTTACAGAGTAAAAGGCACCTGGTAACTTTGCGTTTGCTGCAGGTATCTTCTGTTCATGGAATCGTCAATGTTGATTTCTGAGTGTTGGCAGATGACGGAGCTGGGAGTGTTTGCATCTGCTCTATGTGTAAACGTGTTGGTTTCCAAATGGGACCTTTAGAAGACTGAAGGTTTTCTTGAAGGTCACAACAGAAGAGTTTTATGTGTTCTAATTGCTTAACTATCCTCTTTCGGGGGCGAACACCGAATGAAATGTGGGTACTTGCTTTTCTTTTCTTTCGGATTTGTTTTGTTTTTGAGGTCCTGAGGATGGACCCCAGAGACACTCCACCGTGAGCTACTTCCTTAGCCTCTTCTATGTTATGTTTTGAGACGAGGTTTCCCCAAATTGTCTATGTTGGCTTCAGCCTTGTGATCCTCCTTCCTCAGCCTCCAAAGTGGCTGGAACTGTGGGCCTTGGCCGCTACGGCTGGCAGCGAGTGGGAAGATTTCAGTGGATGCAGCAGCGTAAGATTCCCCACAGTTTTGTCGGTCTGTTTCTTCTTTGCAGTGAAAGACTGTGGGAAGGCCCCATGAACACCTTGGATGATACCATAATTTTGTCAAAACCGTTGCCCCATACTGGAGTCTGCAAAAAATGAAGCTGTCCCTCTTGAGTTTTGACATTGGTGAGTTACACAGGTAGCAAGTGACTAGTGTCAAAGTCAGTTTTTAAGTTACCTATGTTGTTAGTGTGCATATTTTCTTTATTTTGTATTTAAATTGTGTTGTAAAACACTAAGTTTCAGTAACGAGAAGTTGAGTGACACTGAAAAACTAGCTTTGCCAGATTGAAAATGTGCCTGTGTCTAAAGTAGTTCCCTTTCCTGATTTTGGTTCAGTTAACAGAAGTGTCTCCGTGTCTGTAGTTTCTGGTAATCTAATGAGAACAGGCTGAACTTTTGGGTCATGGCGCGTTTTCCCGTTATGTAAATACTTCACACACCGGCTGACTCACCGTGGATTGTGAGCAGCCGCGATTCTCTTCCTTCGGAAAATAGAAGCACATGATGGTACTGGTGTTTCAGCCAGTTGCAGAGCTGCGCCGAGGTTGGTGCTTGGCTTGCCGGTGCTGTCCGCGAGACAAGCAGGGCCTTTTGTTAGTTTGGGGGTGCAGCTTGTGTAACCCGTTAGTTGCCTGTGTTATGGATAGGCTTGGAGTATTACGAACTTCGTGTTGAATTAATGATTTGTTGTCTTTACCTCTAGGCACTTAAAATTTCTCAGTCTTAAAAATAGAGATACTCTTATTTATTTTGTAGTACGTAAGAATCAAGCAAATTTTGGGGGGTGATAGGCAGTGATAGGATCCATAGTGATTACTTCTCCATGTTTAAAGTGTAATGTTTACTTATGTATGTAACATATTTACCATTGATGTTAGACTTTTTTTCTTAATTATTGCACTCTTCTGGGTGTTGTGGTACATGCCTATAATATCAGCACTTCAGGAGGCTGAGGCAGGAGGATTGCAAGTTTGAGGCCAGCTTGAGCAGTTTAGTGACTTGTGAGACCTTGTCTCAGAATTAAAAAATAAAGGGCTCCCATTGTAGCTTAGTACAAAGGGCCTCAGTTCAGTTCTCAATAGAAAAAACCAAAAAAGTCTTGAGATTTTGGGGAAGGGATGGTACAAAATCATTTATGAAGGCCAGGTGTGGTGCCACATGCCTGTAGTCCCAGCATTTGGGAGGCTGAGGCAGGAGGATTGTTGTGAGTTCAAGGCCAGCCTGAGCAACAAAGTGAGCTCAAGGCCAGCCTGAACTGCATCGCAAACCCTGTCTCAAATAGACAGAAAAAAAAAATCACTTGTGAACTGTTTTGAGCAGTAAGAAGCTTTTTTAAAAGTTTTGGAAGGTGTATCCCAAATTAATGCCTTTTGAGCATAGGAAAAAACAAACGGACAATGACATTTTTCTGTTGTCTTACCTGCTTTTTTTTTTTTTTGGTACCTGGAATTAAACTCATGACCTTGCACTTGGTAGACAGGCACCGTGCCGCTGAGCTGTATCCCTGGCCCCTTGTCTGCTTTTTAGTTGCTTGGTTGAACTTGCATCTCGTTTGTTGGGTTAGCTTTTGGCCTGATCCTGTGTTTTTCAGAGAGGAGGAGCTGTACTGAGCGTCGAGTCTGTTGCCATCTGCCTGGAGTGTTCCGTGCAGTGAGCGTTCGCGTGTCCACAGTGCTGGGAGAGCACTGTCCCTTTAGATATCCACAGAAACAGGATGGGATGGCCTTGGTCTTGCATCCCGTCCCGCGCTGTGTTTGCAAGGCTCATCCTCAGAGGCAGACCCGTGGCTGGCGGCTGGCTGCCTGTGCTGCTGCTGCTGCTCCGCGGGAAGCAGATGCCAGACCCCTGTGCTCAGCCGCCGGCCGGTCCTGTCCCGCCACTCTTAAGTCGCATGTACACTTTTACCCGCAGGGGACGCTGTGGGAGGCGGTGCCAGCTCTTGATGCTGCTGTTACCTGCTGTCCGGGTTCCCGTTTGTCACTGGGGCTTCTTCGACTGTTTTGGAGACCCAGTGACTTCCTGTTTTTCATCTGAAGCCCCTGGGGACCCTCTGTGGCCCAGAGACGCAGCCAGAATTCTCCTTTTTCCAGCGACCGAGTCACATCTGGTGGTTGTGAAGTGGTCTTACCAAAGAAGAATCCTGCGGGGTTGGGGGAGAAGATCGAGTCTGTTTCCAAGCCAACTAAATTTGGCCTCTTATTTTCTTCTTTTCATTCTCTTCCCTCCCACTTCCTCTTGGGGACCTCCTTTGTTCTTCAGTGCCAGTAGCTCTGAGAGTGAGAGATCCACCCAGGGCTGGGTGCCACTCACTCTGCAGCTTTTCATGTTAATCTGGGTAACTGGGTTGTGGTTTTTAAGTGCTGAGCACCTTAGCAGCGTGGTAGTGCTCTTGAACATTTTGCTGAGTGTCCAAATGAAGCCTGTAGGGACTGTTTCCATAATTTGTATCAAATGCATGTGAAGTGCATTAATGATACTAACTTGCCTGAGTGATATTGTTAACTTCATCACTGCTATTTAGTAAAGAGGATTGCTGTGCCATGGTCATGCCAGGTAGCTGACAGCCTCAAAGATTGAAACGCCTCATAGATCAAAACTGAGCTGAGGAGGAAAAGCGCCTAGTGCATCATGGCCGTGTGTTGTTCACACCTGTGTCTCACATGTGGAGACAGCGTGTGCTGGGGAGACTTCCGTGCACTCAACCGTTGGGAATCACATCAGTTCAGCCAGGTGCCCTTCCTTTGCTGCCCAGGTGAGAGCAGAGCCAGCCCTCCGAGGGGCAGCAGCAGTTACCGCTCAGCTGGAGTCCCACTGCCCCTCAGCTGTGGAGTGCACAGCAGGAAGCTGCCTCCATCAGCCTGTGGGGCCTTGGCACCAAGCTCTGCCCTTGCCGGCCCTGGCTTCCCGGTGCTCATGCTGAAAGGTGACTTGGAGGGTCATAGGTGCCCCTGGGTCTTCCCGCAGACAACCCTGTGCCTTCCACCTGCACCCACTGCTCCTCCACCTCAGCCCCCTGCAACTGTGGGCACGCCCCTTGGGGCCATCCGCGAGGCACAGGGCATTGATGTGAGGCCCTGGGAGAGCCACGTGCAGCCCAGCGGGGAGGCCGACTCACCGTACTCCACTGCCTGGCCGGCGGGATGAGGCTACCAGAGAAACAGCCTTGATCTAACTTGAAAGGCAAGCCTCTGCTGGAAATTCTGTGGGGAGTGCCCAGAGTGGCATCTACATTTGTCCAGCGGCATCTGATAAAAGTTCCTCAGAGGCTTTTAAACTGCTCTAGTGAGTCTCTAAAGCACGGCGCCCGGAGAAGGGAGATTTCCTTGAGCTGCCTGTGTTCCCCCTCCACACATTGCCACGTGCCACGAGCTGTCCCCGCCAGGCAGGCGTCTGCGCCTGAGGTGTGTCCAGCAAGGCCTGGGCCGCAGCCTGGTGGGACACCAAGCAGCGTTACCACTCGTGTGAGCAGTGCAGAGTGCGCCTCCGAGGACCGTGCCCACACTGTCACCGTGCAGTGCACCCGTGCCTGCGTCATGCCCACCTCAGCAGCAGCGCTGGGCCAGACACTGCAGTTCCGAGACCTTGCCACACCGCGAGCAGTGGCGTCTTTTCCCATGGTGTTGGTGAACCCTTGGGCAGACAGATGCAGGGGACGCAGTGGTGACAGTGGCGTGGGAGGCAGGGCCCAGCTGTCGGGGCCGTGGTCCCGTCTGTGGGGCGCAGGTGGCCCTGTGTTGGCCTGGGGGCTGTCTTCTGGAAACGCAGCCATAGACACAGACGCTCAGCTGTCACCTCGGCATGGTGCACTGGTGTGGGGGTGGCGGGGAGGGTGGGGCTCACGCGGGTGGGAAGGCGCTGTGACAGGCTCCTGCATGAGGGGTTGCAGAGCTGAGGGGGAGCAGGCGAGGTGACCAGGGAGGCAGGAGGCAGCGTGGCACCTGTGTGCCAGGGTCCTCCCTGTCCTGGACACTGTCTGCTTCATTTTCTTCTCACTCGCACCTGCTCAGTGTTGGGCCGGGCTCTGAGCAGAGGACGGGATAAAACATACCGGACAGAGACCTGCCGAGGCAGCTGTGCCTGCTGGGAGGGTGTGGTGCAACAGCGCCATTTCTGGCAGGGGTCAGAAACATAGGTCTGGGGCTGTGGATTTAGCTCAGTGGCACAGTGCCTGCCTGGCAAGCATGAGGTCCTGAGTTGGATTCCAATAAAAAACATAGGTCTGCCCGGGGTCCAGACGCACAGATGCCTGCTGAGGCCACCATAGGGTAAGTTGGGCCCACGCCACAGACGGAGGCCATGCGTGTGTTGAGGGGCCTTCGTGCCCACCAGGATGGTGCAGGTTCTCGAGGACCCCTCCTCTCGTGCTGTCCTTGTCCATCTGTGCCCATCAGATGTCCCTTCCTCGAAGCACCTTGTCCCGGGGCCCTGCCATGGTCCTCATCCTTCGGCCTGGACACCTTGTTCTCCAGCCTCTGCTCCTAGGGGCCTGCACCCACCACGACTTGACCTTTCCCGCAGACGCGTACCTTTTCACACGCGGCACGTGGGCCATGAACGAGCGAATGAAAGTCTTTTTTTGTGAGCTGGCTTGTGTGGCCTTTCTGCTCCAGGAAAGCAGCCGAGTGAGGGCCTGGGTGATTGCCGCCTCCTGGGAGCTGGAAGTGCTTGCAGGACATGTGTTTCTGTCGTGAAAGCCAAGGCCTCGATGGGGCTTGGAGTGAAGCAGCAGATGCAGGGTTCTCTCAGGGAGAGTGTGAGTGCTGAGGACCGAGCCTCACGACTGCGATGCACATTCCACTCATCTCGGCTTCCGGCCAGCACAGGCAGCGTCACAGCTGCCCCGGGAAAACCACACCCAGACACCTCTAGGAAACAGGTTGGAGATCCAGAAATAACCCGAAGGAGTCTCTAACAGTTTTCAAGATCCTTGAAAGATCTTTGTGATTCCAAAGGCAGCTTCCCCTGCCAGGAAGTCTCCCCGGCACTCCTCCTGAGGTTGGTAGCTGTGAGAAAGAAGCAGTGCAGCGGCTACCAGAGTCCCTGTGAACACAGAACCCACCGGGGTGGAGCCTCCCGCTCCCCTCGCGCTGCTGCCTGCTGCGGGGAGGAGGCCGGTGGCGGGGGGGGGGGGCGCTGCCCCAGCCCTGCAGTGTGGTGATTAGGACACAGGACTCTGCATGCCGTGGCCAGCGCAGTGCGTCCTGCAGCAGCAGCTCCCCAGACCCTGGTGCAGCAGGAAGCCCAGGATGTGAAGCCCCGGATGGTGGTGTGGCTCGTGCGGGGTGGCTTGGTTTTCATCTCTGTTCAGGTGGTGGATGGTGTGAAGGTAAGGGACTTCCAAAATGATGCCTGCATTTTAAATGCCTGCAGATGTCATGAGTCAGAGCAAAGAATTAAGATTGAATAGATCTTTTCTGAACTGAAGAAATAGGGCTCTGTATCTTCTTAAGGACATTGGTGACACCTAAAGAACCACCTTGCTTAGTGAGGGCAGACGCCCTCTGCATGAGGGACCGAATATGATCTGAAGAAAGCGAGCGGCTGCCGGTTTTTTTCTAGACAGTCAGATTCCAGAGATGCAGATTTGGGTTTTAATGTATTTGTTCCGTTTAAACGACGACGGTTGATTGGTCTGGCATGCGGCACTCCGCCTGGCAGGCAGCAGGTGAAGCCTTCTGGTTCCTTGGCCCTCGTGCCTCAGATGAGCATTTCCGCTAGTGTGACTCTCTGTGCTTGTCTGTGGGCAAGTGGGGCACCACCCCCAGCTGGTCCTCTTTGTTTATCCAAGAGGGACCCCGAGAGCTGTGAATTGGTGGCCCCAGACTGTATTAAATGCATTATGGGTGGTAATTTTACATGTCCCTGTGCCAAGAAATAGAATGTCAAGGTTGCCATGGCAACCACATGCATTCTGAAAAGCTTGTGAATGGGCTCTGAACCTTCTGGCATTTTAAGTGAGATTTTCCAGCTGAGGGCCTGCATTCATGATTAGTGTAAATAAATTTGGCTTTCGATAAGAAGCACATCCTTTCTCTTGGTACCACTGCGGGCCATTCAGTGCAGATCTTCCTCTGGTGACATCTGCCTGACCCCTGATTCCTGGTGACTGGCTGTGGTTGGGAGGTGGCCTTCGGCTTTGTGTGTGATGTGCAGCCACTTCAGGCTATGAGCCAGAGAATGGGGTGGCACACCGTGGCGCTCAAGTGTAGCTGTAGCCCCATGTGCCCATGAGGTCCGGCGGAGCATCTTCTGTCGTGAGAGCTGCCCAAGGCTCCAAGAGTGACTTCCGGGAGGCCGTGGTGGTTGGTTCTGGGTCGAGAAGGAGACCCAGGTTTAGAAGGTCAGAGGTGCAGATATAAGTGAGGACCTGTGGTCTTCATTTTCAAAGGCCGGTCTGCTTTTTGTTGGAAGTATACGTAGCATGGTTATTTTGAAGCCAGCCTCCCGTGCTTTTATTTTGCAGTACGGGAGGTTGGACCCAGAGCCTTGCACGTGCTTGGCAAGTGCTCTACCACTGAGCTAAACTCCCAGCCCCTTTTTATTTTGTCTTGAGTTGGAGTTTTGCTAAATCACCCAGGCTGGCCTCAAATTTGGGGTCCTTCTGTCTCAGCCTCCTGAGTAGCTGGGGTTACGGGCTTGCACCACTGTACCCGGCTCGGTGTTGCAGTTGTGCTAGCACGGGAGGGAAGCAGCTGTTAGAGCCTCACAAACAGTGCTGGTGGCCAAGGCAGCGTCTCCCGAGAGGTGGGCCAGGTGCTGGGATAGTGTCCTCACACTGCTGTGGAACTGCTCTCTTTGCCCGTGAACGTTGGTGGCACAGGGTCAGACTTGGATGGGAAAGCAGTGGGTCTTCCGGGAGCTCCTCAGTGGGCACCTGGCTGTGATACACCTATGGGCCTTAGCTAAGAGCCTTTGTCTAATTCTACCCCTTTATTTTACAGATGAGGAAACTGAGGCCCAAAGAAGTTATCCCATTTGGTTAAAGCCCCACAGCAGGCCAGAGCCAGATCTGGGACCAGAAAACTGGCTCCTGGTGCTTTGCTCTCCTGAGGATCGATTTCTGCAGACGAGGTTTGCTTTCAGTTCATTGGCTCCTGTCTTCCTTTTGTCACTAGAAGAGCTGTCCTGGCGAGGCATGGTAGCACACACCTACAGTTCCAGCACTCTGGGAGGCTGAGGCAGGGCGATTGCAAGTTCAGGCCCAGGTTGGGCAAGTGAGCAACTTAGACCCTGTCTCAAAATAAAAGTGAAGAGGCCTGAGGGTGAAGCTTAGTGGTCAAGCAGTTCTGGGTTCAATCCCCGGTACTGAAAAAAAAAGAACAAAAAGAAAAAAGGTGCTCCTTCTAACAGCAGGCCTCTGACTTGGAGCTGCTTAGGGTTTTAGGTCCAAGCCTTCCCTGCCGCCTTTCGTGGCTCAGGATGCTGGGGGCTCCCTGGGGGCGTGGGGGGCGTGGGCCCGGAGCCCAGGGCACAAGCTTGGTGGCTGCGCACCCTGTGCGCTGAGTGTGGTCTGGTGCCCAGGTGAGTCCTGGCTCCAGTTCCGGCGCCACTGCTGTCCAGGTTCCCCAGGGAAGTGCGCCCTGGGCTCAGCCAGGTACACTCAGCCGCAGTCCTTCAGCTTTGACTTTCGGCTTTTTATTACCTGCTAGCACAAGGTTAGCTTACACGGGTTGAAATGCACATTGATTTTCTAGCCAGATTCCCGGTAAGCCTGGCTTTTAATTTTCCAGTGTTGGAGGAAGGTGAGATTTTATTGTGGAATTCATTTAGGGCAACAGATTGTTTTCCTACATGGCCTCAGCGATGGGTTCCCTTGCTGACTGCATGCTCTTCCTCTGTGGGAGTTTGATGGAGGGGCAACATCTCTGTCCTGTGCTGGATCCTGGACTGAGGCCTGGCAAAGTGGTGCTGTGTGATGTCTGAGCCAGGTCTTGAGCCAGGTCTTGAGCCTGGCTTTGGCTTCCCTTTGGGGATCTGCACTCCGGGGAAAGCTAGTGCCATTCTCAAGTGTGAGTGAGAGGCCTTGTGGGCCGAGGCCCAGACACTGCGGTGTAGGCCTGTCCTCCCCACAGTGCCCTGTTCAGATCCCTGGCACAGAAGCAGGGACGTGGCAAGTGCATTTGGGGTGATTTGTTGTGTCGCCTGGCTGCAAGAGTCAGGATTTTCATTCACTGGGATTAGACATTGTTTTTACTAGAGATAGGAAGCACTTTTTTGATACTCACTTTTGAAGCTTACGTTTTAGTAACTTTGAGATAATTTGAACGACACAAAATCCCTCTATTACAGGGTCAGTTGAGTGGTTTTAGTATACCCCAGTGGTACAGTGTCAGTCACTACTATTTGATTTCAAAACTTCTTAGATTCTTAACTTTCTTGACAGATAAATAGAAATGAAAGGTGCAGGTTGGCACAAACAGTGTGCCTGTGACCCTGTGCATCCAGGCCCAGCAGGCTATGCCCCTGCACCGCACCGGCCATGTACCTGGGGGATGGTGTGATGTGCAGGGAGCAGTGAGCTCCACGCCGGGCCTTGGTGGAGCGGGAGGTGCCTGGGGAGGTGGACAGAAGCCACGTGGCGCATCCCTAGCGGACGAGACGAGGACAGCGTTCTGGCCAAGCACAGGCTGAGGGCAGTGTGCCGTGCACCTGCGCACCTCAGCCCACAGCACCTGCGAGAGGCACCCTCGGGGGCAGTGATAGAGCCAGGTTGTGCCTGGCCTTGGCCAGGGTGCTGCACTCTGCGGAGGAGAGAGCCGTGTCTCTGCCATCAAAAAATAGGCTGTGGTGTTAGGAGACCATGAGACGCTGAAAGCGAGTTCAGTAGCGTAATCTCGTTAAGAGGAATAGAAATTATATTTAAAAAGGAGAGTGGTATCTTGTGTTGTCAAAAAAAATTGGTATTTATTAAAAATGACAAAGTCTCACACTTAGCTGGGCCTGGTTGTGTTAAAAAATGGACAGGGAGGGGTGATACTTTTCCTCCCTTGTCTGGAGGGTCGTGGGCGACTCTCGTAACAAGATGCAGGTTGGCGAGGGACTAACGTGCAGGTTGACTTGATCAGAGGTTCCGTGACGTGGGAGCCTGCAGAGTAAGGGCCAGGGAGGCCGTGTTTCCATGCTAAGGGGCCAGGACTGGACGGTGTGTGGGAACACAGGCAGCAGGCTGGGGTCTGACCCCTGCAGACCTGTCTGCCCCGGTCCCCGTGGCCTCCCTGTGCGACCAGCCTTCCTCCCCCAGGGAGGCCTTGTGACCTGTCAGACGGGGTGAAGGGCTGTCCTGATCAGCTTTGAGGAAGAGGATTCTGGTTCCTGCTCACCCCTTTATGGGGGAGGGGAGGACAGGAGTCAGGCCCCTGGCTTGAGGCTGCTTCTCTGGTGTTTCTGATGCCCTTTGGCTTGTTCTTCCAGCGTACACTGTGCACTGGAACACTAGACTTTGGGGTGTCATGTTTTTAGCGCCATTTCTGAGTAATTTCCCCATGGCATTGAAATCTTGCCCCCAAACTCAGCAGCGGAGTGTGGCATTTTCAGAGGAAGGGCTGGGTGGGACTCAGGTGTGCTGTGTGAAGAGATGCGTCTTCCACATTCCAGCTGTGCAGATGTCACCAGGGCAGTGTTAGGACACTAGGGCACCCGTCTTGGAGCCCATGTCCTTGCGGCTGTCCCCTCCAGCGCCCCCGCGTGGTCTGGCCAGCCCGGCCTCACCTTGGCCCACACCTGCTGCCTTTCCTTAGGGTAACCTTTGACCCCAGCTGTGGGTCCCAGGGCCCGAGCACAGGAGTGCTGTGTGGCTTAGAACCTTACCACAGACCCATGGTTTCCTCCTTCTTGCCTGGGACTCCGGCAGGGTCTGGCCGTGGCATCAGCATTCGTCCTCACGGCTGCTGTGGCTTATCACTGCTCGCAACTCCAAATCCCGTCAGACAGATCATTTCCTGCCTTCAGATTTGCTCATCTAAAATTCTGTTTATAGTGTTAGCTTAGAACAAGGCTCCCGATGTATGAGTTGTTTGAAAACAGCTCCTGTATCACCTTTAATAAAGATAATTTTGAAATGTTACTTAATGCCTGGAAGTCAGTTGGTACGGAGGTTTAATTTTGTGCCTGGAGAAGTGTCTAAGCTCTGCCCAGCAACCCCTAGCCCGGTAGTACGAACGAAGCACTGTGTGTAACGTGCGTGTGAGCGCTGTGCCGACGCGCACCGCGCCAGCACGGCAGCACTCTGTGCCCTGGAATTACGACGGGGGCTTTCCTATAGAATTTGTAAAATGAGATGTTGGATTGATATTCAGCACCAAGCCACTTTTTCAGCTTTTGATTTTCTTCTTGGCTTCGTCTGTGTTTTAGTGTAAAAATCTGGGGCTCAAGGAGTCACTTTGTTTCTACTTTCCGTTGGACTGGCGCGTAGCGTGAAGGTGATCCCCTGGGGGATCTGTCCCAGGGCCACGGCTGAACCTGCACCCCTGCTGTGCATGCTGCCCCGCCCTTCGGTGGCTTTTGTGCCTCACACAAACCCCACACACGAGTGCTGCAGCCCTGTCCTGCCCCTTGGCCGCCACCCTGTGAAGGCAGCGCCTGTCCTCACCCTTCCTCTGCACGGTGCCTGCCGCGTGGCGCCACATGTGCCTTGGAGAGCGGAGGCACCTGGGTGACTTGTGAGCTCGGACCCTCCCTTGCAGGACTTGTCCAGATGTTCTCAGATTGAACGACCAAATCCTTTTTCCAGGGCACGCTCACTGCTCTCCAAGTTATTGGTTGCTTGTGTTTTTCCTGCCTCTTCCAAGAGGCAGGAAGCATGCAAGACAGACAACTTTCCGTGTGACACGCAGGACAGGCGACCTTCCCTGTCACGTGCAGGACAGATGACCTTCTGTATCATGTGGCTTCTTTCCCCCATGGCTCTTCTCTGTGCTTTTTCTCATGTGGAGGAGCAGATGTCGTGAGGGGTTCAGTGCAGGGCGCCCTTCCTGCTCAAGTGTGGAGATGAGGAGAAAGAGGTCGCTTTGCAAAGGTTTGAGGCCTCTCATGACCCTTTGCTGTTCTAGTGACAGGCGATCTCCTTTCATTTCCTCTCAATACTTAGTGGGTCCCTTGGTCCTGGCCAACAGCAGGGACAGAGCCAGGTGCTTTGTGCAAGGTAGCACTGGTCATGTGTGTGCGCACCGATCACGTGTGTGCGCACCGATCACGTGTGTGCACAGGCCGCTCCGTCATGCCAGCTTCTGGGCGCACTGTTTTCTGGAGCTGTTCAGTAGCACTGTCTAACCTATAGCCAAAGGTTTAGTTTCACATTTTTTTAGCAGAAAACTATTAATGTAGCCATTTTATTTGTACAAAGAATGTCGACTACAGAATATTTTATGTTCAAAATATTGATTAGTTTTTGGGGCAACCAAAGAGATTTGACCTTGCATAAAAAAACTGTTTAAATTCCCTGCATGAACTGCAGTGAATCATAACTATATTAAGCAAAAGCCAGCACTGCAGAGTGGAGTTTATTTGAAAGGCTAGTTAGATGAGCATTTCCGGGTGACCTAGAAAGGTTGCATCTGTATCCACATCCAAGTGGAAAGAACCTGACCGTGGAGTTCCGTGTAGTGGTTGGTCCTGGTAATGGGCGGTCACTTTGATTGTGAAGTGGATTCATTCCAGAGGGCTTCCGAAGCATGAAGAATATTCAGTTGAAAGAAATGTCACACCAGATACCTTAAATTTTCAGTGTGACTCTGCTCTCACTGTAACATGTGCCTGGGTTTTACGTTTGAGCAATAAAAACACATGGTGTTTGGTGTGTGACCCGGCAGGGGTGGACGTGACCTCAGGGAAACTCAGTGCCCAGAGCAAAAGCAGAAGGCGCCTTGCTGTGTGGCCTCAACATGCTTCTGCCCCAGAACGGTACCCGAGCATCAGGCGGCCGACCGCCTCCCCTGGCCTTTGCCCTCCTGCTCGAGTCCATTTGGATGGTGCTGTCCAAACATCGGCTGAACAGCTCTTCTCAGCCCTTGTATCCAAGTGGTGGAAAGGAAGCACATAGTCACCCCCACGGTGTGAGAAGCTTGGCTTTAGCC